AATTTCAGCATATCGTCGAATTCCTTTTTCGCTGCCCGCAATTTGTCTGGCGCTAATCTACGCAGCTTCTCAGCGACGGGGGGACCAGTTGTTGTTTCGATGTAGTGCCTGGTTTGGTGTTGTACAACCGCAGAGGGAGCTGCGGGACGCGTAATGTCCGAATACTTCTTGAGTAGGCGATGAAACACGGATTCTCCGGAAATCGTTCTCACTGAGGGTGTCGTGGTATGCGCGAGTTGGCCTGGAGACGTAATTTGCGTTGTTTCGTTAAACAGTCCTTTGTTGCGCACGTCCACCAGTAGTCCATAGAAAGATAAAAAGTCTGACCAATTATCGGTTTAGAGACGTCAGCGACGACAAATTGCGATGTAAAACAACGACGCAACCGGAGGTTTAATGTCATTATCACTGTGCCGTACGATTTCACTAGCGCACGCGGATATACACAAAGATCAGCACCCGTATCGACGAGAAACTGGACCTTGGAGTACGTATCCGTAACGTACAAACGGCGCGGAATCGGGCACGGGTCGCTGTTCGCCATCACCGACTGCCCGTCTCGTTTCCCTCGTTTCCCGGACGATACGTGCACGGAGCGCGGTCACCAAAACGTTGGTGATACAAGCTCTGACCACTGTCACTGTCACGGCTTCGCGATCGGTCTTGCGAACGCGATTTGGGTGTTCTCGTCGTCGGTCTCCGCGGTTCACTCTTCGCGAACAGCTTCGTCATTGCTTGCGACATCTCCACTAGTAACTGTTGCTCGATGCGTTTCAGTCTGTCGTCTTTCATTTTTACTATTTAAATTTACTCAAATAAAATGATAACTAAAAAAAGCGTTTGTAAAACACGCGTCTACTGTTATCCTAACCAGACACTTTAAGAATTATTTTCACGTAGGTACTTATAAATAAAAGTAAACACTTTTATATGTATATCTAAGCAAGTAAATGTTATAAGAATATTTACATGTCGAGTTATATATAAAAAAGTTAGTATTTTCGTAGATTTCAGTACCTAAAACCTTGATGGTTTGATGGCGTTTTGTACCTGTTTATTAGTTTTACTGCGGCGTCTTTGAAAATACTCAGTTGGCATGACATAACATTCCTATTATTTGATAAGCTGTAGATTATTCAGTTATTAAATGTTTGAAATTATCTGTCTTTGTGGAAAATACTAACGAACGTTCAAATAAAAACGTGGTCAAGTTGGTTCTGAAAATTTGGACGTAGGGCGTAGCGTATAGCAAATGAACTTAAACGTCATCTGTCAAAGCGCAATATTGCCGCTATCAATTTGAATATTTTCGTTTTAAAAAGCGTTTAAAATGGTGTTTTCTCAAGAACAAAAAGTGTTTATCATAGAGTCCTACTTTAGAAATGGACGCAAGATTGATGGAATATGGAAGTATTCTATTGAGGAATGTTTCATAGAATTTCAAAATCAATTTCCCGGCGTTGTTGAGTACAAAATTTTTCAAAGTGCAGTTCAGCGTTGTGTTAATGTTTTCCGTGAAACGGGCAGTGTAACAAGAAAAGAAGGAAGCGGCCGACCTAAAAAGCGGACTGAAGAATTAAAAGAAAATGTCCAACAAATAATGGAAAATGCGTCAAAAACTTCTGTACGTGTTTTATCACAAATGGTGGGAGTATCAGTCGGTACCTGCCACACAGTGTTAAAAAAAGATTTGCGTTTGTTCTCCTATCGTTTAACTTGTCAGCAAGAACTTCATGAAGTTGATTTTCCGCGACGGGCTGTATTTTGTGAATGATTTTTAAACAACTACGGTGAACTTCATAATATCACCTTTTTTTCTGATGAAGCCTGGTTTCATTTAAGTGGTTACGTAAACTCACAGAATATGAGAATGTGGTCTTCTGAAAAATCAGATAACTTTTTTGTCGAGGGCCCTCTACACGCTCAAAAAATTGGAGTTTGGTGTGCTCTCAATCGAAGGAGGATTTATGGACCTATTTTTTTAATGGTACCTACTCTTACTGCGCAAAGGTATAGAGAAGAAATTATCGCTCCTTTCGTTAACCAGCTGGAAGAAAACGAAATTACAAACTTTTACTTTCAACAAGATGGCGCAAGGGCACATACGGCAGGCGAGACGATGAATATGTTGAGGGAAGTTTTCCAAAATCGACTAATAAGTCTCAATGCTGAACATAAATTTCCACCGAGGTCATGTGATATTACGCCAATGTGATTTCTTTTTGTGGCCTTACCTTAAAAACACTATTTTTGAACTGCCTATTCCTGATTTAAACCATCTGCAGGCTCGACTTACAGACAAGATTCATGAAATTAACAATACCCCGAGCATCTTAGAAAATGTCTTTAATTCTTTGAGGAACAGGTGTGAAAAGTGCTTGGAACAAGGAGGGGGACACTTTCAGCAGCTGCTTTAATTTATTGTTATAACGAGGGGGACACTTTCCGAATTGTTTGTTATTGTTATCACGATTATTCTTTAAAATAAAGTTATATAGTCATTAACGTTATTGAAACTGACAGCTGCTATACAGCTCGTTGAAAAATGAGGTTATGTTGGTCGCTATAAGCTACTCCCTACGTCCAATGTGTCAGAGCCAACTTCGACCACGTTTTTATTTGAACGCCCGTTATTTAAAGAATACGGCGCCCTTAAGAGGATTCCCCAAAAAGCGTAGCACTATCAGATTCCATATGCCATAAAACCCCTGTCTACCAAATTTAGTGATTCTCGTACAACAGGGTTCTGAAATATAAAAAAGACTATTCTTAGGGGCGGATTTCAGGGGGCTGTAACTCCGATAGAGGAGGCCACTTGACAAAAATATAAAATACGGGTCCCCTAAATTTGTCCTAAGAATCTATGACCAAATTTTGTTGCATTAATTTCGGGACCCAGAGGGTATTTGAGGTTATGTGAAGTATGTACACGAAAAAGTATTTTTTTTGCTGAAACCTTTAATGGGGTCTTAAAGTAACTACTATACTTCCTTAAAACAAACTTGGATTTATCCCGATACCATTTTTTGTCTTTGAAAAATCTCATGTTGAAATTTAGTAGTTTGATTTATTTCTCGATTTCTGAATATACTCACAACGCAGCGCAGTTTAGGGTTTTTGAGCTTAGGGTTTGTGAGTTTGGGATTGAGCGTATTAGCCTCTTTTGCGTGTAAATGCATGTCCAGATTGATATAATGCGTAAAATATCGACCATATATCGAATTTTTATGCATTTTTTAAAGTTTATTGCAAAATTTGACGTGATAGAGTATTTTGAAGTTTAGATTCATGATCAAGACCCCACAAACATGTAAGATTCCTACTTCCGGGTGCCGATGAATTTATGTTTATGGTGCTGTGTTGTCGGTATATTCAAAAATCAAATAATAAGTCAAACTACTAAATTTCAATATGCGATTTCTCAAAGACGAAAAATTATGTCGGGATAAATTAAAGTATAGTACTTTAAGACCCCATTAATGATTTTAGCAAAAAAAAATTACCTATCGATGTAACATAACCTCAAATATGTCAAAATATAGCGATTTTGGCACTTTTAGATAAGGATATCTCGAAACCAGAGCCAATTGAGAAATTTGAACCTCGGATTCGAATTCGTAAAAGTACATTATGGTGTTTGGGTTAGAGGGTCGTTCAAATTTTTTTTGGACTGTGTAATTTTGTACTAGACTTTGAATTTTGCTCAAAATGTCCACCTCTAACTTCAATACATTTATCAATATGTTTATTAAAAGATTGTCTTATTTTAAAGTATAAATCCTTAAGGCGAAATTACTGCAGCATTTAAAACATCTTCCCAGGTGTTTATAGTTTCTTCATAAACAACTGATTTCATGTAACCCCAAAAATGGATGTATCGGCAGTCTATCTCACATTTATGTACATACAATTTGAATTAAGATGTAATTTTAATTAGGTACGAATAATACTTAATGGAAATTAGCATACAAATAACAGCAATAAGACAAGTGGAAAACGTCAATTATTTGATTTTCGTCCAAACTTTACCGCTAAATTAATAATAGGTAGGTACTTACTTAATTGTAATTTAATTCAACAGCATTGGAAGTTTCAAAGCCAAATATCTCGAAAACGGTGCGAGACAGATAGTTTCATAAAGTAAAAAAAGTTGGAAAATTTGATACCAAAGATGAGATACCTTAAAGTACACAAAAGTTATGTCGTTTTTAACACATTCAATCTACTGCACCTAGCGCCCTCTATGAACTTTAACCAAAATATGAACAGATTTCAATTTCTCTACTTAAGAACTCCAAACCCCAAAATTTTGCGAGGATACTTGCATTTGTTAAGGAATAAATGAAAAAAACACTAAAATAATATTTTACATTTAACACCCTGTATCTCGTTAACTATCAACTTCTGGACTAAGGTAAGTTCGGCTAAATCACAATATTTTTGCTTCGGGAATCTACCCATGAATTTTGACACATTACCTCGGGACCGCTTTACTTTTTTATTATAGAACGGGATAAAAATTCAAAATATCTTGAGTATGGTTATTTGTAAGTAAAAATGTAAAAAAAAATTCTATTGAAAGATTAAACACATTTTGCACATTAAAGTTCAATGTTCATTGGACTTATTTTCTGTCATTAGGGAATTTGCTGTTAATCACTGACTCCATTGTAAGTTTGGTTATCTAACAGTCGCGGTCACGTGTGACTCGGACATTTATGAAGGCACTGTATATAAATTTATTATTTATAGTAATATTTTATATAAATATAAATAGAGTATGAGCGCACTAACAACTTTTTAGTGCAAAGGCAGTTTTCAACATTTTTAGAAGCTTGCTGGAACAAAACTAATATTTATTTATATTTTTTTTATAATAACTGATTTTATTGTTCAAATGCTGGGACCACGTTTATTGAGAACGAAGTTCTTATGTACAAATTTATTTTTTTTCTCAAAATTTTACCCTGTATAAATATTTTGATGTACTTGTTCCGTACCTGGACATGTGGAACAACATTTTCCTGGTTCAGGCGGCAGAGGGTTCGCACAGGGCGTGTGACAATGCAAATCCGACTCGGTAACAACACCTGCTTCACATCTTAATACTTTACATGCGTTAGTAGAGCTCGTCCATTCCGTGTGACTTGGGTGATAAATGCCTTTATAAATGCAACCTGGGAACAAATAACGCTTATGAGAAAGTGTGCAAATGCAGAGAGTCATTAACAAGTTAATTGAAATGTTATCTAGATTCTTATATTCTTATGTAACTTAATTTGAAACAAATGTTGATTGTTTTAATTGAATTTCAAAATAATGCTACCCATTTATTTCGGATATGTTACGATAATTTTTTCAAACCCTTTTAAGTTATAAGTATCCGTTTAACTAACAACTTTAAAAATTAAACTAATCTTTTAGTTAATAATTAGCTTATTTAGTTTTACATGCCTAATATTTTATAGTGTCCATTACAAACTTACCTTTACATCGTTTGCAACAATCATCTTCTACTACTAAATGACATTCATCTATCCTTGGACACACATTATCGCATTCGACATATCCATTCTGTAAGAAAAAAGTATATATTTCTCTGGTATTAATATTTATTCTGATTATATTTTATAATGAATGCACAAGATACAATATTTACAATTTAGGAAACAGTTAAAAGTTGCTTTAAAAAATTGCACCAATATCAGTTGCAACGTACAGAAGACAAATAACTTATACGATACATGTTATTATAGGTAGTGTGTAAATTATTGGTTTTGTTATCTATTCTAGCCAAGTTTGGCTGCAATTAATGATTATACTATAAGTGATAACCATAAAAAATAGGTACTTCAAAAACATTAAATGCATATAAAGTAGGTACCTAATCAAATAGCAGAATAACTTTTCTTGGTTTTAATTCCTCAAAATTATATTAGAATGTGGGACAGATTAAATTAAAAATTAGTAATTCTCATTATACAGGATATTCTAATATTATATGTACATAGGACTACGACATATTCTTGGGATGAAAATGAAACAAATTGAATAAACTTAGCAGCTATCCAAAGTTGCTTCTTTTCTTTAAAACTAGTGAAAATTGGTATTTTTTTTAAACAACTCTTAAAATATTTTATTCGATTTAAATGAATGTTGGTATGCTTGTGGTGGGTACACATGTCCGCAAGTGACCCATTTTAAGTATTACGTCGAGAGAGCCAGCCTGACGCCGGACCTAATTAATAGTTGCAAGGACAAAGAACAGACGCGGGACGCACCAGGGTTTCAGGAAAGGTCCACGACAGATTGGCGCCGGGACCAGATACATATACATGTGAGCGACTCCATACCAATACTCTCCAGCGAATGGTCGCCCCGACAACACTTCTTTTTCATTAACTTTGTTTTCAATAAAATACTTTTATTTTTACTGTTGAGAGATTTATTTTGCTGCATACCCCAAGCAACCCTCATACTTATGTACATATATCACATTTTCTGTACAATAGTTACAACAATGGTTTTTATTTTGTATTTATTATGTATTTTATTACCAATAATAATAATAATAATAATAATAATAATAATTAAAGATGGTAATAATATTAGTAATAGTAATAGTAGGTAAAATAATAAATAATAA